TAAATTCAATTAATGCAATTAAGAGGACAAACAAGGAAATGCAGCGAAAATCATTAACTAAAGAATAAAACGCATGGAGTAAATGCGATTTATGCATAAAATTTGAAATTTTCAATGATGTGCGGTCCAACATAAATATTACGTTATGTTTCTCAATATATAATATCGGGTAATGCTAAATGACCAGAAAATTTGGCCAGAAATTTTAAAAGTGTAGAATATCCTTTTTATTTAAAATAAACTGATCTTTTTTCTATTTTTTAATTAAAAGGTAGTAAATTTAAAAGGGTAAATATGTTCAAAAAGATAAAATAACATAGTGTGAAATATGTTATTTTACAATTCTGACCAAATTTTCTGGCCAAAAGGATTTTTTCCATATAATATCATACAATGTTATATCTTGGGAAATTCATATTATTTTACTTGATAATATATAAATTCTCTTGACATAATGTTTCTTTGGCTTTGTACCAAACACACCCTTTGTTATTTCCTATCCCAATTTACATGTGACACTTGTGAAATTCTGAGAGTTAATTAATTTTTTATATGTTTTTAAATACTATAAGTTGTGGTTTATAATATTCATAACGTAATTTTCAAATAATATATGTTACTTTCATTATTCCAATTTATATGGCACATGTGAAATATGGAGAGTTAATCAAATTTTAATATATTTTTAGAGACTTGTTTTAGAATACAAATTTGAAATGTCGTCTTTTCTTTTTCAAAATTTAGTCAAATAATATTTCTAAAATTGGAATGAACGTGGTATTAAATTTAAAATTTATATTTCTCATTAATTAGATCAATTATTTATATTTCTCATTAATTAATAATAAGAAGTTGGAATAAACAGTAGCAAACAAAGATAATGAAGGAAGAAAGAATGATTTAAGCATCTTTAAAAGGCACAAAAATGTAGCTTTATTTACAGAAAAGTACAAAACAACTGAAGTAATAAAAAACAATATTAAGGGCCAAATATAAATTGGAAAAGCACTGCAGAAGCATCAAATTATGGCTTTATTTACAAAACTGTATAGAATAAGTGAAGTAATAATATAGAATATCAAAGGCAAAATATAAATCTACTTATATGAGTATGAAAACCACACAATTGATACAGACATGTTGACTTCGAGCTGTGTGATTATCAAGACTTATATATTAGTAGCAGATGTATCAATCAAATTTCCAAATTTATAAAACATATCTATTGCCCGTTTAGAGCCAGAATTTTCAATAAAGAAGAAATAGACACACGAATAATCAAAGAAAATTTGACATTTATTATATATACCTAAAAAATTATTTTAACTATAACCCCAGAATAAGGTGGTTCCGCCACGGTCTATTGGGGCTAGCCCCATTGATGAGATTGTGTATGTGACCTTTATTTTTATTTTTTTGTTTGTTTTGCATACACGTGTTTGTTCTACATTAATTTCATTTATCAAGTAATGTTGCCTAATAATTTGACTCTGATTGAAAGACTACAAGCAAAATAGAATAATATATATTGTAATCTAACGTAAACTATTATTATATATTAGGAGCAATGAAATTGTGTTAGCTATATATAACCAAAATATCTACCAAGATAAAGAAAACACAAACGATTTGTTTGAATGCAAGAATTTGTTCTTACACATTTTAGACATATTTGAGAATGTTTAAGAAGCATTGAGATAAATTTAAAATAGAATAATTTTAACTATTATTTGAATGAAAGTATTTTGAACTGTAATATCTTATACTTCGATGTATAAGGTTGCAATGCCATTTGATGGTTTGTATCAAGCTTCAATAGTTGATGCTCTTGGACATGTAATTTTCGTCTTGTCTTTGAAAGCATCTTATGCATACTCACCGTTAAATTTACAATCTTAAAATTTATCACTAAATTAAAAAAGAATAACGTATAATCACTTATGTTTCACTAGAATTTTCGAACACACGTTAATTATTCTACTGAATATTTTATCAATTTTAGATCATCAATATTAAGTATCGAGCTATAACAACAATCTTCTATTAATACATCTATCTATTGTTGATAAATCATTCTTCTAGGTTTGGTACCACTATACTTAACTTTTCATTTTTCTTCAAGTTCCAAACATTGCAACCAACACAATGACTTTATTATAATATCTAAAGTTAGGTGATTTAATTTGTAATAGCTATCAACCAAAGTCCATTTTGGAAGTTTGAATGTACCTACCCCTACTACCCTAAATGAATTAATGAAAGTAGCAAACATGACCCAAAAAAAAAAAATACATTCTTAACAAATCATTAATTTTTTGTTCTAGGTAAATTGAATAATTAATCATTCAATTAGCTAGAAGGTCGTTTTCAGTTTTAATTTTATCCACATAATTAATGATATGTGGCATGTTGGATTCTTCATGGTCACGCCTTCTACCTAAATTCTATTTATTATATTATAAAATAATGCATGCATGAATTATTTTTCTTTAGATAATTAAAATATGAACTAAAGTCAGTTTATTTTATTTTTATATAGTTTTATTTAATGGTTGATTGAAGAATCTCACGTAATTAATTTGTGTCTTATTTTATATTCATTACAAAGTTGATTAAGACATTTGACTTCTACAATTGTCTGTTTAATCCGCTAATTAGTGTTGGCTTCTAGAATTTTATAATTATAATACTATAATTCTAAATTTTAAGAGAAAATAGAGAAGTTCATTACAATTGTTTTTAAAAAGGAATAAGTTTATATACTACATTTTAACTATTCTCGTCGTTAGGGAAAAATCAAGGGCGGAACTAAGTTTATAAATTCAAAATTTACCTCTCCATACCTAATAATCGCTTCTGTTTTTGCCCTTAGTCTACAACACTCAAATCTAGTAGTATTAGTTTTAAGGAAAAATCTTTTTGGCCAGAACATTTGGTCAAAATTTGGCCAAAATGGTATTTTACCTATGTTATTTTACCTTTTTGAACATTTTTATCCTTTTAACTTCATATTTTTTAATTAAAAAATGGAAAGAGATCACTTTATTTTAAAATAAAAAAGATATTATACACTTTTAAAATTTTCTAACAAAATTCTGATCAAATTTTCTGACCATTTAGTATTACCCTAGTTTTAAATCATAGTTAAAGTTGGAAGGACAAATTATGACTTTTATTTTTCAAATAATTAGGACACAGAGAGTCCATTTGTTTTGTTTTGTGTACACCAAAACTCTATTAATAGGAAAAATACGAATAAATGAGTACTCCTTCATCTTTAACCAGATGTTTAGAGTTTGAGTTTCTTTGAGTAGAAAATCATCTTTGTTAGGGAATTTTTTACCCCTAATGTGGAACTTTCTGACCTAAAACCATATTTGATCGGGCTCTAATGTGAACACCGATCACTGAATGAAAACAAAAAAAACAAAAATAAATACGAGTAGATGATTTGCAAACAACAATAATATAAATTGAGAGAATTTTTTTAATGAAAGAGCAAGATTTAAAGAAGTTTCGATCAACATGAATAATCTAGCTATGTCATGTGAAATATTGAAATTAAGAGATAATTTTTATTAAATAAACTAATTAAAAAGAAAAGTAAAACAAATAAATTAAAACACAGAGACTATAATATTCTCACTTTGTGCAAAACCAAAACTTAAATTTGTTGTTAAAGTATAAAACAAGATTCACACTATGAAGTACTAAAAAAAAGTTATGGACCTGATTAGCTGGGAAAAAAGTAGAGCATAAATAAACTTTATTAATTCTAACAAAATGCTTTTGTGGAAAAGCACAAAAGTATGAGTCATTCTTATGCTATTTTGCAGCTTTTTTTTGTTTAACTTTATTCTTTTATTAGCATGTCAAAATTTTTAAAATATCCTATGATCTGTATCCACCAATCAAATCTTGACTCTTTCTCATTAATTTATTTCTCTTAAGTTAAATAATGTATGTTTTCATCTTAAGATAAAATAATTTGGTAAGCTTCGATAAAGCCATGATTTAGCGGTGAATGAAATGATTAAAATTTTTCAATAGATTAAGATTTAATTTCCAACGAAGAATTAATATATTAATAATCTTATAAGTTATAAATCAAGTAATTTTTGGTAAAAAAGTTCTTTATTTTTAGAACTCAAAATGTAAAACATACCTAAGGTTAATTTTTTATTATGTTTTTAAGGGATTATATAGTAGCTAGCTGAATGATATATGTATTAGTTGAATAAGTATCAATTATATGAATATTAGCTATTTTATTTTATATTTTATAACACAAATTTCTAAATTATAAACTTACATCTTAACTAAATACTATCAAACTAAGTTATCAAAAATTAATACATAAATAAATTACTTCCCTACCTACCAAACGACCCTTAACAAGTAAGAAGTCAAATTATGTCCAAATTCCTAATCTACTTAAAAAAAAAAAAAAAAACCTTCCTCACGAGATACTTGTTTTCTCCCTCTCTATTTCTCCTTTCACTTTTCTTCTTATCTATCCAACTACAAGTGAAAAATGTTCATTAATATAATTTTTCTCATAATTAAATCTCGAATCAACTCAACAATTCTAAATTATTTTCTTCTTTATTGTCTGGTTAATCTGAATTCATATTAAAGACACAAGTAAATATAATTTTTTTTCTATACTCAAACCTCGAATCGAACTCAACAATTTTATACTTCAAAAATACCCTTAATGAAAATGATTGTTAGATTACGAGTGAGACGGACCCTGCTCTGATACCATGTTAGATTAGGTCTTAGGCCTAACTCACACCCCAAAAGCTAGCTCAAATGAATGAGGATTGCCCAAGTCTTATAAGGAGTCCACCCATCTCATTAGAGACTTTGTCGGTCTTTTAACATTTACCCCTACATATAACCTCTATATATTGTAGCAAGTGCCTAACAATTGACCTATATACCCACGTTTACATCAAAACAGGACGCCGGCCGGCAAATTGGACCGTCTCTTTTTTACATTCCTAAAAAACACACACATACAGGTCAACAATTTGTCATCGTCTTCACAAAGTCACAAATAAATCCAACCAGAAAATTCCAACTAGAAAAAGACTGTCAAAATGTGGAACCCAGAATCAGTTCTTATGTATTTACTACATCATGGCTCAGAAAACCCATGATTTTTCACCGGAAAAAATGACTAATATTTGCCGGAAAATAGTTCAAGTCAAGATTAGGTGGAAGATATTTGATAAAGCTTCAATCTTTAGGGAGTTTTTTCGTTTTATTTGGGAAAGAATCATTGTTTGTTCAACTGACCGGAAACCGGTGAGGTACCGGCGTTTGTCTCGAAGAAGTTCATCGTCTCCGGTGGCTATGGAGGAAGTTGAAGGGTATGGGGTAGGTGGTGGAGAAGGTGATCCTTTAACTGCAACTTGTAGTGGGTATGATAGTGATTCAGATTTAGTTACTTTGAAGATCAGTATTTTGGGTGATTGTCAGATTGGTAAAACAAGTTTTGTGGTAAGCTTAACATAATTTTCTCTGTTTAGCTTAGTATTTTACTTTGTTATGTTTACAGAATTATGATTTTGAGTTTATGAGTTCTGAATTCTAGAAAAAAACCGCTTATTGGGTTCTGTGGAACCTGTAGGCGAAGCTCTAGCTCTGCCCCGGTGTACGGACCAATTTAGGAACATATAGACTATTATCGAGTAACTGATGAGCCTGGGTTGATCAGGCCTTCCAAAAATGTTGATGTACCTATATTGGATCCTCCAAAAAGCATGTTTTTTTAGGATCTCGATAATATTTTTGAAGAGTCCGAGCAACAATACTATTCACCAAGATTTGGATGATTTTTTTTTTCTAGTGAAATTTGAGTTCTAGTGTGTTGGTATGAAGGAAAATGTTTTATATGAACACATGTTTTCTTGGAAAACGAGTGCATCTTTTATTTATTTTCTAAGTAAGCCAAAAAAAATATTACCCCAAGAGCAACTATATGTTATTTAGCAAAATATACAGGTTGGAATGTGGTGGGGAGTGGAGGTGGCAGGGATTTTGATGATCAAGGGGTGGGGTTGGGAGGTGGTGGGGTTTGGATGATCTAGGGGTGGGGTTGGGATGGGGTGGAATGTGGGGAACACACAAGAAATCATTTTCCTCATTTTAAAGTAATTTATTTAACCAAACATCAGAAAATTGGAAATATTTTTCACCCCACCAAACACGCCCGATTGGCCTTTTTCCACTTTATTGATCACGAGTTCACACCCTTGATTTCCGAGTTAGAATGTTAACTTCTTATGCTTAAACAAAGAAACAGCTTTTTTAACACTGTTGGTAACTTTTTAAATTTTTGTTTTCCAGATTAAGTATGTAGGTGATGAACAAGAAAAGAGGTGCTTGCAGATGAAGGGATTGAACTTAATGGATAAAACATTAGTTGTACGAGGTGCACGAATTGCATTTAGAATATGGGATGTAGGAGGTATGTTCATTAATTTTCTTCCTTAATCTGGAAAGCTAATAATGCTTAGGCCAATTTTTTCACTTTTAAGGTTGTTAATGTAGCTTAATCAATGCAGTGAATAATTCGGTTTTGAAATTAAACTTTTGGTTTATAGGTGATCATAGCTCATTTGATCAGATTCCAATTGCTTGTAAAGATGCTGTTGCCATTCTCTTTATGTTCGATCTCACTAGCCGGAGTACATTGAACAAGTATGTAGCTTTAATCTGATACTGTCAAAACAAGAAGAAGATTTATTCGTATTTCTTATATTGTTAGTGCATAAAACTTGAACACCGTTATTAAAAGCTTTTGTTTTTCTTTTTTTGCAATTTCAGTGTGATAAGTTGGTATACTGAAGCAAGAAAGTGGAATCAGGTGAGAAACTTTAACTTCTCTTTCACTTTGATGTTGTTTTCTTGAAAAAAGGAGTAAACTTTAAAACCAAGAATCATCTTTTACTTATTACTAACAAAGAAAAAAGTTGGATGAGACTTTCACTAGCCAGTAGCAATTCATTTCACCAAATAAAAGAAAAAGTAGTACAAACAGCAACTTAACTATAGTGGTTGGGACTTTATTGATATACTGAAGTAAAGTTTTGAAAGGAACTGAGTAATGACAGTAGTTGGAACTACTTTCACTCTTTTGAATAAAAAGTAGCATATGGCAATAAGTAAGGTAGTACTTTAGTTACTTTTTGTTCTTGAAGATGATAACTTTATCAGTTGGTTCATTTAGATTTGAATGATTGAAACTTAATGACCAGAATACGTCGTTATTAGCAAAACTTGATTAGCTTCAACTTTCAAGAAGAATGAATTGAACAACGGCGTATAAGGGTGTGGTCTAGAGGTCAATAAAGGGGGTTGAGAACCATGAGGTCTCGGGTTCAAACACTAGGTGATTTCCTCTCATATGTCCGAACTTTGGCAGATAGAGTTACCTTGTACATACCTGTGGAATTAGTCGTGGTGCCTCCAAGTTGGTCCGTACACCACGGCTATTAAAAGAAATCAATTGAATAACAATCATGATGATCATTATCACTAAGTTCTGTTGTTCTTTACCAATGAAAACTAATTTAATATGTATTGGTAAAGATTACGAAGTCAAATACTGTTCTTGATAATGATGGATGGAAGGAACAATTATAATACATGATTTATAGAATTTAAAACATTGTTAGCTAAGGTAATTAAGTCTAATCTTTTTCTTCTATAATTGACAAATACAGACTGCTATTCCAATACTAATTGGGACCAAATTTGATGATTTTGTTCAGCTTCCACCAGACATTCAATGGTCTGTGGTGACACAGGTACAATTCTGATCAACATAATATACTTAAATGTTTCCTTCATTCCTTCTTCTAAATGGTTTTTAAGCCTTATAAATGTAGAGGTCGTTACTCGTTACAGAAAAAACTAACTCACACACCAAACTAACAAAACACACCCCTTTATATACACTTTCTATCACTAATCAACAACATACCTAGTGTAGTCCCATAAAGTGGGGTCTAGACAAAGTAGAGTGTACACAAACCTTACCCCTACCTTAGAGGTAGAGAAGTTGTTTATGATAAGACCCTCGGCTCAAAGAACCTTCTATCACTAATCGTGATTAATTAATATATGTAATCATCTCAATCGTCATATCATTAAAGACCATTCTTCCTCATGTTTGTACACTTCTACTTTGTGCAAGTAGGAAAGCGATGTGATCCTAACAAGTTCCTCAAATGTTCGCTTCTCCATAAATGAAGACGGGTGACCCCCACATATATTGGGGTGGTATTTGCATTATAAACCGAATTTTCCTGCTTTAGTTGCAAACTTCGTTTTCACAAGAATATGAAAAATTTAATTTTGTTTATAAATACTGAGAAGATGAAAGGAACTAGTCTTTTGGGTTAGTTATTGTCATCCTCCAGTCCCCTACCACAGAGTCCACCCACCCCCAACAAACCAAGAAAACAAAAGTAGTAGGCAAGATATAACGAAATTAGAATCTAGAGCACGTTCTGTCAGTTCAACTGACCCTATCAATTCAGCTCGAACTATATATACGTATAATAAGACAACACTTGTTCTGAACATACTGACTCATTCCATTGCATTCCGTCATCTCATATTGTACTGATATAATAAGTATGTGGCACATTGGTGTTTTGCAGGCAAGGACATATGCAAAGGCAATGAAAGCAACACTTTTCTTCTCAAGTTCAACACATAACATCAATGTGAATAAGATCTTTAAGTTCATAATGGCAAAGCTCTTTAACTTGCCTTGGTCTGTCAAGAGAAATCTTACTATTGGTGAACCAATTATTGACTTCTAGTTCTTCCTACTACTACTGTTACGTTATGTTTTGTATATAAAAGGAGGGAGTAGTGAATTCATTAACATGTAATATTTGTATTTCCTTTTCACCTTTCTTATTGAGTGTATAGCGAAATCAAGGTTGATGATAAATTCAGCAAAGTTTCCACGATATTTTACCTTTCCATATTAAAGGGCTCTTGTATTTGGTAATACTAATAGAATATATGAAGAAAAGTTTAGTGCGACAATCATACCTCTTTATAACAACAGTTCATTATAACTATTAATTTTTTCTTTCTTGAAATTAGATTTTTATGTTATATATAAATAAAAGAATCAAATCAAAGAATCGAACACCCATCTTTTCAACCAATTTTTTTTCTTCTAAAAATGGCAAAATAATCCACGTCATTTTAATTGGGTCCCACTGACCTCTTATAGTGTCATAAAAAAACAAAGATTCTAGATTTGCTTTATTTTCATAAATCATCCAAACATGGCCTTCTCCTCACCGAGCCAAATAGCTCTACCGCTACCGAGGCCTCACCGTTTCTCCTCCTTATCTCAATCGCAAATACCCTTCAAATTCATCAAAATGACGTCTTCACCCACCAATCCACCAGCCATAGCTTGTGTCCTCACCGAAAAATCAATGGATGCCGCCGCCATTCAACGACCCGATTCGTTTGGCCGGTTTGGAAAGTTCGGTGGTAAGTATGTACCGGAAACTCTAATGCATGCTCTCGATGAACTGGAAACCGCCTTCAATTCGCTCGCTACAGACCAGGACTTTCAGGTGTTTGATTAACTGCATTCTCGGATTGGTGATTTTGTTTCATTTCTTCGATTATTTGAATGAAATGGATATATGAAAGATACATATATAGTTTAGCTAAACTACATTGGAGGATCTAGTATATATATTTAGAATTTTACTAAATATTTCATTGTGAATCCATTTATTATTGTATATCAACTTGAAATTGTTATAGAAACTCGTAAACTTTGAATCCAGAATCCGTTTTTGCTTGCTATGCTAACTTTAGGATTTGAGATTAGTTGATATTGTTATTTTTTGACGTGCATTCAGCATTCTGTAATAAGAGTGGATCTGATTGATTGGACATTACCGCAGGCATTACTTTTATCCTTCGAAATATGAAGAGTGAAACTAATAAAAAAAACTTTTCTTTTTGTTATTCAATCATGAAATGATGAAACTAGTTGACTAGTATCTTATGATATTCGAAGTCTGTGTTTGTTAACATGTTGAAATAGTTGAGTAAGTTAGCTTAGACTGCAAATATCGTTGTGTGCGCGTGTGTGTTTTAAGTAAATGGTAGTATCTTCCTTGAGCATAATTTCTTTGGAAACTGCAGGAGCTACAATTTTGCTGGAAATTTAGCACAATTCAAGTTTTTTTTCTGATATAAAGTGCTGTAGTTATGACTTGTGAGCTTATGCTCTTGATCTCTGATTTTTGGTATATCACGTGTAAATAAGGTTGTCCGGAACATCAACAAAATTATGTTATCTTATCAAAAAGGGATTCTCTTAACGAACTCCTAATCTTAGTAATACAAGAAATTATGTTGTCTTTTGAATGAAATGGACTTGAAAAGATAGAAAGGGATATAGATGATTCAGAAGCTTGATTCCAAACTGTTTCGGAATTGAGGTGTCGCTGATGGATTGATTGATTTCAATTGTATGGCATTGTGAAGAATTGTTGACCCCTATAAAACTTCTAACTTGTTTGTACTCCATTTATGCTGACTGCAGAAGGAACTAGATGGGATATTAAGAGATTATGTTGGCAGAGAGAGCCCTCTTTATTTTGCTGAGCGACTTACTGAACATTATAAACGTCCAGATGGTGAAGGGCCAATGATCTACCTGAAGAGAGAAGATTTAAACCACACTGGTGCCCACAAAATCAATAATGCCGTTGCGCAAGCTTTGCTTGCCAAGCGCTTGGGAAAGAAACGCATTATTGCCGAGACAGGGGCTGGTCAGCATGGTGTTGCCACTGCAACTGTTTGTGCTCGGTTTGGCTTGGACTGTGTTATTTATATGGGTGCTCAAGATATGGAGAGGCAAGCATTGAATGTCTTCAGAATGCGACTGCTTGGAGCTGAGGTCTGTATCATACATTATAAATTGACGGCTCTGATCATAGCTTACTTGAGGAGAGATTGAAAATTGATTAAAGATTCACTGATTAACTTTGTGGTTTCACTGAGATCTCTGCACCTTCTAATAACTGGCTTGGTTATCTGCAATGACACTAACTTGTTCAATAAAATCCTGTGATTTCTTCCCTACGTTCCACAGATGAATTTCACTGTAAATGTACTGTGTTTTTCTTGCATTCATAAATTCTCAATTGCAGGAATGATTAGTAAGTGTGGTTCATCGGTACATGAACAAAAGGTTGATTGCAAACTATTGGTAAAAGGGGAGAACAGAATGTGATATGAATAATGATATCCATGAACTTAGGGAGTAGGATAAGATGTATACAGACGGGCAGAGGCAATCTTATTAAAATACTTGAATCTGTCAGATATTTGCAAAGTGAGAAGTTGCCGGGAAATTTTCTTGTTTTGCATTACCTACACTGCCTCTATATTCATCTCTTTTTAAAAAAATTACCCTGCCTCTATTTTGATCTGAAGACCATCTAGAATTCTATTTAGGGCTTGAGGACCGTCTTTCGCTGAACCATCGCCTTTCTTCTGTTATACGTCCCTGTAAAATGTAAATGGTTAAGCTTCTTCCTTTTTCCCTCTTTATTCTTGGGATAGATTACATAATTTTATCTTATACTTTGTAAGAGATCTTTCCATTGCATTTGAATCACTCTATTTAATTACATCTCCCAAAATTAACATTGCAGGTTAGAGCAGTCCACTCTGGAACTGCTACGCTCAAGGATGCTACTTCAGAAGCTATAAGGGATTGGGTTACAAATGTTGAAACAACTCACTACATACTTGGATCTGTTGCAGGACCACACCCTTACCCCATGATGGTTAGGGACTTCCATGCAGTGATTGGTAAAGAAACAAGGAAGCAATCATTGGAAAAGTGGGGTGGGAAACCAGACGTGCTTGTTGCATGTGTTGGTGGAGGTTCAAATGCTATGGGACTGTTTCATGAGTTTGTTGATGACAAAGATGTGAGGTTGATTGGGGTTGAAGCAGCAGGTTTTGGTCTAGATAGCGGTAAACATGCTGCCACTTTAACAAAGGGTGAGGTAGGAGTACTGCATGGAGCTATGAGCTATCTACTGCAAGATGAAGATGGGCAGATAGTTGAGCCACATTCTATAAGTGCCGGGTAATTACTTGAACCTTGCTTGTTACTAATGTGCTCATTTTGCTTGCTATTACAAAATCCTGTGGGTACACTTGACGCTACTGAAATAAAGTGTGTTTGGTCAAATCAAATCATTGCATCTCTTAACTGGTTTTATTCCCCTAACGGATTATTAGATTGGATTACCCTGGAGTTGGGCCAGAACACAGCTTTTTGAAAGATCTGGGGAGAGCAGAATATTATAGCATCACAGATGAGGAGGCTTTGGAAGGTGATACATGATTTCACTTATTCTTTGTTCTAAACTTTACATAACTTGCTCACTTATGCTGCATCTTTATGATGTATCTTACAAACCCGTTCGTGTATCACTTAATGCCTCATGTTTGCAGCCTTCAAAAGGTTATCTCGCTTAGAGGGTATCATCCCCGCTCTGGAAACATCTCATGCTCTGGCCTACTTAGAGAAGCTGTGTCCAACTCTAGCAAATGGAACTAAGGTCGTGCTTAACTGCAGTGGGAGAGGAGATAAAGATGTTCAGACTGCTATTAAATATTTGAAGGTTTGATGGAGAAGTTGGTAATACTTATCCCAAAGAGTTCTTTGTACTTTAAAGGTAACTTAAAAGAGTATTTTCTGTTTTATGGCACAACAAATTTTGTAAGTTAAATAAGATTGTTGTCGAAAATTTTGTTGATAGAGCTGTTGATTCATGAACCCAGAACCCAATTCTCTTGATTGTTAAAAGGTCCATATATACTTCTCGTCACTTGGTTTCTAACTTTCTACTAGTGGTGTTTCCACCAGGAAGTATGTGTTTTGTTCAGATTCTTCGATATGTTCATGAGCCAAATTTCACCTTAATCGGTCTCTGATCGATCTATGTCAAACATGGAGTGCTAGTTAAGGCAATCATGCTGTTTATTTGAGCCAAATTCTGCAAGGTTTATGCTTAAATGAACTAATTTATACCACTCTCAACCAGTTTATTAGTACACTTGTTGATGTCTCTACGAATAATAACAAAACAGGGAAACCAGCCTTGTAACTCTATAGGATTTGAGTTAATTTTAACTCATTATTGCTATCTACATACTCATAAGTTCCATGCTCAACCCAAAGTAAGGGTAGACTGAGGATCCTGAGAGACGTTATCGCAACACCTCAAGGTCTCTTCAACGTCTTTTATCCCTAATGCAGTATGCAAATTCCACTCTTCATTGTTTTGCCTGCATAACATTCAAACAGTTTTAAGTTAATAGAGGACAAGCAATGAAAAAATGAAACTAGCGCAAAAAAATACAGGAAAACCAGAGAAAGAGCAGCAAATCACGAGCATTATCGAAGAGGGATCCGTTTTGAAAGATTGGTGATACAAGAAAATGCAGAACCATGGTTTATTGCACAACAAAAAAACACCTCAATCCCAAACCCCAAGCTAGTTGGAGTTGGTTATATAAATTATCACCTCCGTATGAACTCATTTCATTCCAATATTTTGAAGGAAACACACTTGGCATCACGTATTTTTTGATATGGTAACTTACGTCCCTCCAAATGATTTGCCTTCGTTGAGAAAAAGACGGTTTCTAAGTTTCGAATAACAAATAGTACAATTATGATGTGCTAACCCAAAAGAAGAAGGGAAGAAAAGATGCACACACATATAGAGAGGAACTAAAAAGATCCCAGTGAAGATTGTTGTGCAAAGGAAGGGAAAGTAGCTATCTCTCATTCTCGTGTTTCTAATGACAATAGTTACGGAGAAAACTAGTTTGCTTGCCATTCAAGTGGAAAAAGCTATAGACTTCAAAAATTTATATCGAGGAACGAACAATCAATCACATCTGATACAGAAAGGCAAAAAATGAAATTATCACCTGTGAGTACAAGAAAGTTCCAAGAATTGCAATGGCAGCTCCAAG